GTATGTATGTATGTATGTATGCATGTATGTTTGTATGGGTGTGTGCACGTATGTATGTATGCGGAGATATGCATGTTTGTATGTGTGTGTTTGCGTGAACAGGATGCCAGCCCAATGTGAGTGAGAGATCAGCCGAGAATGCGAGGGCAGGGGCAAGAACATAGTTGAACCGGGATTTCGAACCGGGCAGCACCGAAAAGCGAATGATGATTGGGAACAACCAAACAAACAAAAATAGTAAACATGCAATGAAGCACGCATAATGACATTCAGATTGAGACCTTTGATTCATTGAAAAAGGTGTGTTCGTGTTTCATGAGGTTTAAGTCAGTTCATATAGTGTGACAAACAAAATGGAGAGGCGGAAATGAAGCAAAGCGGAACAGCAAACAACACATAAATCTAGGTTAGCCCCATCGGAAAAAGATGACCACGAGATTGAATAAATTTGCTTCATTTCCAAGCTGTATAATAGCTCACATTTCTGTGTTTTCGTAAAAACGGAATTGATGATTCGATAATAAACTTTCTTCGCAGAAGAAAGAAGTAAATCTATTTCAAACTGTACCAGGCTGGTTCACACTATCTTCTGAGTTGATATCTCCCGCAAAACTAAAATTTGCCGCAAGTGCTGGTCAATCTTTCCATTTGATGAGGTTCGACAGTTAATGAGAGAATTGGACTCGAGGAAGCTTCGAATAGAGTTGAGCGAAGGAGTGCGTTAGAGGTATCGCAGAGCTGTGCGACTTACCTCACACCAGAAAATCACCTACTCGATCAGCTGATCTGGAACGATGTGGGAACCCTGAAGTAAACAGACTAAACTGCAGTCACACGACAATGATGTATTAGTATCCGCATCAACGACCAATCAGGCCTACTGTAGTCATCAATTGCGCCATTCGATAAACATTCTACATGATTTTATCAGACATTCGTGAGCAATGGAAAATGGTTTTGATTGCATCAGTGAATTCGGTAGTCACAACCAGAAGTTAAAAATCACAGGAAGACCTCATGTCAAATGGGTACTGCTGTTATGAGATATTGGATTTCGGTTTATCTAGAGCGGTATTGGCAAAGAAACACAATGCGCCACTCGTGACCGCTCAGAATCTTACGGACAATCATGATTCAATGGTCCTAGTCCTCGCGTTGAGCGCAGATGGAACCACAGATCAGTCCCGGATTCCCAAACATATGCTCTATAATCATACAATTAGGTAAGAAAATCCACGGGCCAATAAATGAATTACGCGAATGACATGTAGTGGATTTCCGACAGCCGTCGATGTCACGTGACCACAATTCACCACCATTGACTCGATCTGTCAGTCGCCCGCACGATTGCAGAATATTTCGGATCAGCTAAGAGACTCCGTAAGTGTTTGGCCTGAGTTTTCAGGCATACTGTAGCTGACATCAATATATTTCATCTGCTGGGTTTTTATGAAAAGTAACGCGCTTAGAGTATGCATAGCTATGCTGAATAGCTTGAACGCGAGCGTATTTTTCTCTTATTCTTGTGCGAATATTCTGTTCCACTTCTGATCTCGCTTTGATCACGCGAGTAACAGAGAAAAACGACAAACCTTACCCATAAAGTAAATATATTTGTTTCAGCTAACCAAATGGAAGCAATCAGCCGAAACACATCAAGAAGGCGTTTACCAACTTAGAGAACTCTGGCATGACTGTGCCATCCGATTGTTGGTAAAATATCGACTGTATACTGCAGCGGTTGTGCCGTCGTTGCTACGTGATGAAGAGCTGTAGCAGTTATGTGGAGAACAACATGGGTAAACACCGCTACTAGCACAACATGGGATCAACCGAGCAAACAATGTCTAAGTTGGATAAAGGGTATTAAGTAATTGCGCTCGCGTACTGATAGTGCTAACATTTGATCTGTATGCATCAGGATTGAAATGCAACGCATTGGATTAGTAGCTGGATAGGCTTGCTTGGAGTTTAGCGTTTCTCGAGGTTTGAGGCAGCTGAGTGAAGGCTAATGGAGATTTCATAATGCACTCACAATGGAAAAAATATTGGTTATGGGTCAGGATGCTGAGACAAGAATAAAACTTAACTAACGAGTGCCATAGTCACGTTTGTTTAATTTAAAAAGATAACAAATCAAAGGAGGGATTGATTATGAAGGCACAACTACAACGAAGAAAAAACCCTGACTCTAAGCAGAAACGATAGGAAATCGAAAAGTCCCGTTTAGTTGAAGTCAAGAAATAACACCATTATTTTAGGAAATTAGTGATCCATTGGATTGGGACAAAACTTGATCTGACGACAAAAGTTCCGATGAAAACAAAACAAAAAAGTGATTTGACACCCTTGGAAATACACACCACAGACAAATGAAACAAATCTCCGAAAATGCAAAACGGGTTGCAAGCTATCGATCAGACGTAAAACACGGAGGAAATAAATATTATGCTCAATTTGAAATTACCAATACTAAATAAAAAACGAGGAGATTCCGAAACGTCTACAAGCTACTTTTTCTACGAATTTTCATTTAAGTGAAGCATATCTATCACCGGCTTGTGAGCAAGTTTAGTGCCAACGAATAAGGGAACATGAGATTTGGGATACATAGCAGGGTAAAAAGACATCAGACAGTTAATTTGAATGATAAAGATAACAATCTTTTTGTTTCATTTACCGTACGCTTTTTGATATGTTTCTGTTAATCGTCTTTATGTGGGGCACGGGATTTGCATTTGTGCCAGGAACTTCTATTATGAGCCCTATCTTTCGACGATCCTCATCCCTTGGGCCCCAGCCTGGAATGCGAGTTGCATCAACCAAAGTCGAAGATGGAGCCAGCTTCTTCAGGGCAAGAAAAGGTAGTCGACAGGCAGGCATACGCAATACAAATGGAAATAAGGTTATTTATTTATTTTCGATTTCGAGACAACAATCAGATCCTTCCACTCTACACAGGGTTTATCATCACCCACACACAGAAGCTCTGGGAATTCGAGTAAATAGTTGTGTGGTGAATGCCAAGTGCCCATATTTCAATCACGATCGCTGTTGACTTCGGAGATGTGCGTGTGTGTGTGTTTTCGATTGACAGTCCATCTATAGTGACGAGCGAACAGTGCTTAACATGGGGTTCAGTGCGCAATATAGTACTGAATAAGAAAAAAAAACAATGGGTTGCTTTCCACCAATGTTATTTGCTATTCAAAAATAAGAATTAACGATGGTTTTGGGGCTTGGTTAGCGATATTCTGCTTCATCACCATTCGTACAGAATAAAGGTGGTAAATGGTTCCCCCAAAAACGTACTGAAAAAACTGATGTTGTGCCATTCGATATAAGTAAACTAAAACTCAACAAAACATGTATTGGTCGCGACCGCCTGAAATGGTATTGCTATTGTGAAGAAATGGAGCGTATTTATTTAGGGTCATTCCATAGCCAACGATAGTAAACCAGTGTTCACCGTTCAGTAAACAATTGGAATATCAATCTGGAAACATCCGTACTCTTTAACCTGCTTCGAATAAATAAAGCACAAATGTGTATAGTAAACATTTCGGTTGGAAACAACAAAACCAACACAAAAAACGAGGACGACGACGAAAACAGTATTGACAGGGCAAATAGTAGTAACAATCACAAACGCTTACGTGTGCTACTCCGAGACCGAATTTCTTCCGGATCGTCGGAACTGGGGTTGCGGAGTTTGCGATCCAGGAGCAGGAAGTAGATCACCTTTTCCGTGTTGTGTCTGCAAACAGAGAGAAAGAGAGGGATACATCAAATGACGATGATATGATGGACTGAAAAAATTAAGGGACATCTTCATCATGTTTGAGAAAAAAATTGGAACAAGTTATCAAAGTCGACCTCAGATCGCCTTATGACCCATTAGAATGCGACGACTACCGGTTATTTCAGCATATGCAACTATGGTATGCAGAATTCATTGAGACAATACAAACGCATGTTTTCGCGCGTAGGTGGTTTTATTGCTGAGACAATACCTGGTACCCACCCATCTAACATCATACGAAAGTCGGTGCTCACACCCAGTAGGAAAATTATACGAAAATAGGTGTGAGGAATGCGCCTCACGATTCAGTGCAGATAGACAAGTAGATCACATATGCAAACGGAACAGTAAGCATTTATTGGATGGAATAGAAACTATGAATATAGCCTTTCAGTCGTTACAGGAAAGGTAACTAAATACCGTTCATCCTCCACAAGATAATTCCTGAATCCGACCGGGCGGGGGAGAGATTCTACCACGAGGTTTATGAAGAATAAACAGACCATGTTAGTCAGTTCACACTCCAGGGGCACTCCTTAAGTAGGACACCGGCAAAGAGGTATGTGTCAGGATGAGAAGTTCATAAAGCCTGCAGAACAACTACTCGACTAGTAGCTGCGTTGGTGAAGAATGGTATGGCTAGCTCCGCAAGTTTCGCATACAAAAGTACCCATGCAACTAATTTGAACATAATAAGTGGCTCACGATCTCATTTTTGTGTAATTTCCGTTAGAATATATTTGTATAATCCCTTACTAAGTTCGCACTATTTCTGAGGAAAACAAAGAGACAGAGGGAAGTTCGTGCAAATTTCCACACCCGAAACCGTCTTCATCTATCTGTTTTATCGTGGTCTAGTTTATATTATTTTTCACGCTAAACACGGACAAAAAGTACTTGTAACTGAAACGTTAATCTAGAAGTTTTCAAAACTCGTGTTAATGAGATAGAGTACAATGTACCTACTTTCAGTCGCATAACAGGTATTCCCCATTTTCAATTTCTTTCACACAGACAGGGCTCAGATGCTTAGAGAGAAGAGTTTACGAACAGCGATAAATATCTCCCTACTTGTCAGTAGCTTGTTTTTTTCTAGTAAATTCATCTGTGTGAACTGAACAGATTAAGAGGGAGAGAAGAACGGAAAAGAACAATGTTCCAGTTCAGGTCTGCTTTGTTAAGGTCATATTTGATCCTGTCAAGGTTTGAGCAAGTTAGCAGATACCGGAATCCATCGAATTTGTGACACCTTCGAATCGTTCCCGTCATGACTTCGATTGATGAAGTTTTGCAGTGTATGGGGATTACTGCGTACCAGGGGACTACTTTTGACGTGCAGTATAGCCAATTCGGATGCGATGCGCAACTTAAAAGGAAAATGGTGGATTGAAAAGGCTTCGTGCTGGAGGTTCTCTGGTCAGTGAGTTTAAATAGGAAGAAAGGAGAGGAACAAAGGGAAGGGCTTGGGATGAAAAGATCTATGCTTCGAAAATCTCGGTGGACGGTGTGTTATCACTTTTGAGAAAATAACAGTCTTACGTACACAGGGGATAGCAATTCCTCCACCAGTTTCTCCTGATCCCGGAAGCATTGCAGTGAGGTCATGGTTCCAAATATGTCTGGATCGATATCCGCACGAGTGGGAATGATTGCGGTCTGAACGGCTTGGGTCATGGGCAATTCGAGTTGAAGGGGCATATTTTGGTCACTGATAACGATGAAAGGGGAAGGTAGAAAAAGTATTCCGGTAGTCAATTCAAAGAAGATATAATCTGTGGGTGAACTAAATGCTATTGTTAAAAACATGGCCGGAGTAATGGGGGTGGAATGAAGGTGAAGAGCATATGAATTGAACTCGAAGAAAACCTCTGGACCTAATGCCTATTGTTCGGGTAGACAAAAACAGTTTTCCGTTTGAAGTTGAACAAAACATGAAGAAATTAAAACAATTGGGAAAAGGTTCAGTTTGAGACAGACAACTGGCTGTTGTGAACACGTCGACGACAATATTACATACGGCAGTTATATTACGCAAGTGAGGAGTAACATCGTGAGAACTTCTATTAAGTTGATGAAATCTGGTGATTTGTTGTCTAACTTGTCGGTACTATGGGCGTAAAAAAACGACCACGCCGAGCGAACAACTTTCTAATTACCAATCTTGTTGTGAGCAACATTATTCAGACGGAAATGGATCCATGATCACGAGGATCTACTATTCAATCGGTTAAAGCATCTAATCTAAGTTGACACAAACTGATTTTTAGTGGGGATTACAGTTACACCGAATTTGATCGACAAAGTGGAAAAACGTAGGGTTGAAAGCTAGCACTGAGTTTGAATCTCTTTCGTAGCAAATATTGGTAAAAGAATACCGCAAGCTAAAACCGGGAGCACTAATTAATAAGAAAATTATGGTTGGATAGGTTTCGTAGTTATTTAAAACTTCGTATTTCAGGTAACTTGTTTGACAGATAAACCAAAGTGCGAACACAAATGAAAGAAAAATGATACATGAGAGTGATGGGAGAACTGATTTGAATAAATAGATGGCAGCGTCCTTCACGCGTGCTCAGCCTAGCTTGAATGAAACAATCAATGAACACAAAGTCAGTAAATTCCTTAAAGTACGAGCAAGCTGACTGAGAATCCCCGTATTACTGTAGAAGTATTTTATATTATATTTCCTGTGGCTTTCCCGTAGCAATGGAAGTGGCTGTAGAGTAAATAGCTGTTTGTGATTGAAGAAACTACCTCTAACTGAAAAAAGCGACATGCAAAATTTGAAGGTAATTTTATTTGTACAAGCAGTTCTTATTTTCAGGGCTATAAAATCCATCGGATAAAATCGCATGCAAAATGTTTGCCACATGGAACATATTTGTATTTTTATCCTAAGCTCGGATCACAATATGTGCTAAACACATCACATTTTATCCTAAAGGAGGAATGAATAAAATACTATGAGAGAACCGGCACTTTATAAAATTCATTAGTCAAACAGCCACGTGGGCTCCAATCTGTCAAACAATAAAGTGAACAAATAACCTTGCCAGAGAAGTTCATTCGGTGGAGTCCGGTGAAAACTAAGAAAAGCTTGTCGTGGCAGCCAGCTTACATGCTAACTGGTGGATGCCACAGGCCGCTGTAAGTTGGATGGGTTATTCGGATGTGAAAAGATGAGTGCTATCGATGTGGCCTCGTAGCTCAGCTGGTACAGCGTGCGCTGTACAAAAGTGTAGGCGGTCTCCATGCGTGGGTTCGAATCTCACCGAGGCTCGTGAACTTTTCAGTCTAAACATAATAACTCATAAGACATAAGACTCTTTTGTCCAGGATAGCCCGCTCCAGAATAGTAGTTCCTTTTGTCCCAGATGTGCCATAAACAATTCTATCGGGACCCGCTCCCTCATTTTCATGTTTTTTTGTTTTAATATATTTTACTTTACTTTTTTCCAAGCTCAAGCCCGAATGGACGCAAAGGGACAAATACACAAATAAAACTCTTGCAGTCGACATTGGGGTTAATCTAAGACGCCACTTATGAATAGACCGATTTGCGTTAAATGCTTATTCTGACTGAGTAACTAAAGGGTCCTCGTGTAATCAAGACCAGTTGCTCCCACTATGTCCGGTGTTCAGCTGATTATTAGCTTAACTGAACCATGTTTCATCCACTGGCACACAAACACCATGGACTGGTTGACTGGTTGACCAACTCATCATGGCACATTTGTGAATGCTATCTAGAAGCTGGATTTCTGCAGCTAAAAATGACAACCGCGTTTCATTCGGTTGGACATGTGTCGCATGTATACGCGAATTCTAACCTAATCAACATATGGTTGATTCACTTATACCAACATGTGGCTTGAATAGTATCCGTGGGCTAGGCAATCGATCATGAATCCCGAACGGATGGGTTGGTCATTTTGACCTAAATCGGTAATGCAAAACCGATTTACACGTTTTTGTTTACCTAATTTTCAAACTGATGGTTGGTGTCACGGGACCATTCAGACCAAAAATAACCACTATCATCGTTCCAAAGCTGAACATTTAAGACTTCCTAAAGCGTCACTACAGTTAAATAATCGGGGGTTGTGCCTGATTTCACATTGGAGTGAACTATAAAGTGATAGTCATGATGAATGCAAACCAAAAGAGAAATTAATGGTTCTCGTGTTTCGCCCTTCTTAGAAGAGCTTTTTTAATTTCATTTAAACTGGAATTTAACAGAAGAGGTATAGGAGGCTATCAGTCGTGCCAATAAAACAATACTGGTTGTGCGTAGAGACAAACAGATGGGGAAGCAAGCATAAGAAACACTACTTTGAAACAATGTGGGTATAAGAAAATTGTCACATCCCAGTAGGAAGGTGCGTTGCATACAGTGGGGGAGGGAAAATGATTCATCCCAGCTTCTTATTAGGATCGCTCTATCTGATGGACTGTTGAAAATGCGTTATAATACTAGTGCTTTTAGTGATACCGTCGATTTGCTCATAAATATTGTTAGACGCTGGCTGTTCTCTAATCCGTTCGCTGTCTTCTTAGTATATTCTTCAGTTGGAAATAATGTGGAACGATTGTAGCTCGGGATGTAGATGTTGTTGTTGGTGTGTTTTCCGAGCTGAAAGTGTTGTTCGCAAACGTTTCTTAGCCAGACTAGGCAACCATCAGCGCAACTTCGGGTTCACACAAGGTCGTTTAAAGACAAGCGTAACTTACTTGATCAAGTTGTTCTCTCCGCCCGGGATGGAATATAACAGTTGACTAATAAAAACAACTATGACAAGACTTAAATACATTACATAAGATACCGAAACTTCAGGTGCCAGTTTCAGCTTACACAAATAATAATTTTGCAATTTCGGGTACTGGTCTCGATTGTTGTCGTCCGACTACCCATTAGATCAACCCATGGGGAAGGAATACATTAAAAAAAAAGACGAAAGCTGTAAGCCGTAGCCAGATGAAGATGAGGAATGCAAGTAAGAGTTGAACTTTGAAGTAATCAGTTGCCCGAGCGCCGCTGCTGACAATAAACCAGATCACCGCCACACAGGCTTTGAATGATGTGTATATAATAAAATGGTATTATCAGATGTTTTTTCAACATCAGTGCAATGGAATGAAATTAACTTTAAATAGAATGGTCAAGATATGAAATGGACAGGCGACTACAAAGCCAGAACTTAGTTAGCCGGAAACTGGGACCATTCTTAGAGGTAGGTACACAGGACCCTGGTGAGATGATCTTCAAACACTTAATTCTCTTAGAACATGCATGTGATGAGAACTGACTAAACAACTGACTGTCTTCGTGGAAGACAATGCTGGGTTGTGACTCCCGTGAATGAGTTTAAGTTCAGCATCAGAAATGACTTAATTGATCAGTGTGCTATCTCCCCGGGTCGTGACTGGTGGTTCCTATATAACATATAGCTATTTTTAACCATAATTCGAGCGAAACTATAGACAAATTGGATGCCGCCGGGCAAACTAGAGAACAGGAATGAGTTCACGAGAGGAAAGATCAGTTGCATCAAAGCAAAAGCAAAAACAATAAGGAACGTAGTAGAATCAAAAGTGAGACAAAAATGGTGTTGTTGTTGATCTTGTTGTTATAACATACCTCGTCACCCACTTGTGTTCGAGTACTTCTTTTAACTGCAAAAACAGAAAACAAGGGAGGACAGAATGAAACGGAAACTATCAGTGAGTAGAAAGCAAATATGTACGTGACATCTACGCGTGTATAAAAAATAACGCTAAACAAAGTGATATGATCTGAATAAGATCTGTGTTTCAGCTCAGTATTGCATGAAACAATGCACAATAGCGCATGGCTGAGGGAGAAAGCATCATAGAACTGATTGGAGCGCAAACGGTTATTAGGTAAGTGAGGGGAAAGGAAATCAGCAGCTATAATTAACGGGCATATTAGACAAGCACGGTGAAAGGCAGAGAAATACGTTAATAGCTATAGCTAGTGATTGGGGACGGGAAGAGGGGCAAGCAAAGCACAATGAGCATCACTGTCCGATCACTGACCGACTGAGTACAGAAACAGACGTCTGCATTTGATCCGGTCTGATGTGTTGCAGCTCAACGCAAAAATTGGCGGTATTGTGTAGAGCGTAAAAAAGACCCAACGGGAACGCGGAGTAATTAGTGATACCATCATGTATGGTGGTTAATCAGCGACTAGGTTTCTGAATTAGTGTGAGGAAGCAAAGAACTGGAGGAACATCTACTTTCCATTTTAGCTAATAACGTGAGACGTGAGCTTGACGATGAAGCATGGATGAGAGGAGCCATAGGGAGATGAAGAACAATCAATGCTAGATTGGAGTTAGTTCCTTCAAAGCGTGTTTAACAGTAGGTTTTCAGAGAAACAATGTCACAAGAAACTCGTTATAGCTACCATTCAGTTTTATTTTGGGTTTAACCAGTCTAACACGGGGATACAATTAACGTTTTCGCCTGGGATAGATTTGTAG